AAATTAAAATGTATCAAAATATCAAAATGATACCATCTGGATTCAAACTCGCGACCCATCTAGCAAAATTGACGCACATATCCATCTATACACACTCTTTTTTTGTCAAAGAGTGCGTTTATTGTTTTATTAATTTAATAAATATATATATTTCATAAACTTTTTCGACGAAATAGTGTCCCGTGACACTCCTTGGGTCTTATTAGTAAATCTGCCCCTATTCAACACCTCATCTTCATGATCCCCCCTCTCCCATAATGCTCAACTTCACCATCCTACACGCCTGCTTCCCACCTTCACCTTCCATAATATTTGTCTAGATTATATTCAAATAGTAGTTTTTGTTTATATTTAAAATATAAGAAAATAAATAAGAAACTAGAAAATATTTTCCTTGGTACTGAACACACCCTTAACATGGATTGAGACCATTGACTTCCCTTAAAATATTCTGTGTTATAGATAGAAAATCGGATTTTAAATTCCATGTATATATTAGGAATGAGAAAGGCAAACAAAAAATTACCTTGAAAAGTCATATTGTTTTCTGTTTCTGGCATTCATTCATCTTTTCTCTCTCTCACAAACATATATTTGAGTTTGTGAGAGGATAGAGAGAGAGAGAATTAGTTTTCAGTCTAAAGAAAATGGGAGCTTGTGCAAGTGTACCAAAAGGCATGAGGGCTGAGGAAATGGCAGCCCCTCCACCGGAGCAACGGAAGGAGGAGGAAACCACAACCACTGCCCCTGAGGTCATCGAGGTGACACAAGATGGTGATGACAAGCACCAATCTCTCGGATCTTTGCTCAATGAGGTATCTTACCCGTAACTTTAATTATGAGAAATATTGAAAAAACCATATCCAACGAACAATCTCCCCTTGATCACCCTGTCCCAATAATATAACAACAAAACATAATACACGATTTTAAGTCAGTGAATGATGCATACAAATTTCTGTCATACCCATTCATACAACATCAGACAAACACCATTATAGATATATATACTACAAGAATTGTTTGATTTTATGTTGACGTTACTGATTTTATAATTACACTTTTGGAACAGAGTGAAGTAGCCAAGGAATCAGCTAAAGATGAGAAGAGCTCAGACACCAAAGAAGCAAAGGGTGAGGAACTTCCGGTATCAAATGCAGCAGAAGCCTCTTAATCAAATAATTACATTCTTTAATGGTATAAGAAAAGTAGCTACATTCTCGGCTTTTTTGGTGGATATTGTTTTAGAAAATATCTTTATTTTTTTCCATATTTAATGGAGTTCTCTTTATCTTATATATGTTGAATTATTTTGTTGTTACTATCTTTGCAACCACAAGCACTGTACATGCACCTCTTGAACAACCTGCTTTGCTAGTATTGAAGGAGTTCTGATTGTCTTTTGAAAAATTTGTTGGTTCCTCTCTGGAAAAATAAGGCAGACACGTACGATCATTGTCATCCTATACACGACAGCTCTTGATTGCTTGCCTTTGTAGTAGGTATTTACCAAAATTGTTTCCTCCTCCCATCCTCGTGCCTCCCTATGCATATTTTGCCAACTCAAGACCTTTCACCACACTTGAAATAAGCAGTTGCGGATCCAGAAATTTTGTATCATGGGTGCTTAACTATTTTTAGCTCGGAAATTGCTACATATAATGGGTGTTCAGTTAATATATTTCAATAAATTTTGTACATAAATAAGAATGTTGACACAAAAGGTAGTGGGTGCTTAAGCACCCATAAGTGAGTACATAGGTCCGCCACTAGAAATAAGAACATATAACGAAAGAATAGATGATTATGATTCTCATCCATAGTTTCACAAAGGATGCAATGTACATCTTCCACACATCCCCATGCAACTAATTTATCTCTTGTGAGCAGCGTATTCTGTAGTGTTAAGTATAGTATGAAAATTCAGTTGGGACAGGTTGCATCGTAGCAAATCAATCTTCTCCCCTCCACTTTCCGGTAGTCTCCTCTGAGAGCTTTATAGAGCTGTTTTATAGAGAACTTATCTATCTGTTTGACGTATTCCTCAATCAAGCCAATAGTCTCAAGATCTTTGTGCGCTTGGAGAATTTTCCTCACCATCCACGAAGCTTGAGGTGCTAGAACTCCCCATAAGGTCCCCTATTTTTCATAGTACATGTGTATCCATTTCATTCATAACCTATCTTTCTTCATACTCAAAATCCACATAAACTTGCTTATGGCAGCCTTGTTCCATGTCTGTACATCCAGCAAATTGAGCCTTTCTACAGTTCTAAGACTCCATAAATATTTTCATGCAATCAATGCCTTCCTGGATACATCTTCTCCCCCTGTCCATAAACAGGTCTTGTATAGTGTTTTGATATATATTTGACATCCTTTTTTGGGATGATGAACACCTGAATGGAGAACAAGACCCCTTTTGATCAATTGAGCCCTTCCTGCATAGGAAAAGAACCTAGATGTCCAATATTGCACTTTGTACATTATCTTTTCAATAGTGGTTGGTATTGCAGGACATGTACTCTCTTAGGTAGTTGTAAATATTGGAGTCTTAGGTAACTAAGTTTGAAACTAGGGTCGTTTGGTAAGCCGCATTAGAAGAAAGAGTCTATGTATTATGTAAGGTATTATTTAGTACTATGTTTGGTAGGAATTTGGGCCTATGTATAACTAATCCATGAATTAGTCATACCTCCTACATGGTATTACTAATACCTTCCATTTGAAGGTATTAGTAATACATAGGATATAATACCATGGGATAAGTTTATGTAAAGACAAAAATATCCCTCAAATCATTTTAATTATTTTGTTTATTTTCTTGATTTTATGATTTATATTTGTACTAGTAAATTTATTTAAATAAATTAGCTTACAAATTATTTAGAGAGAGTTGTTTGTTACTAAATAACTCCAATACAAATCAATACAAATTTGAAATGCGAGTTGTTTATTTGTATATGACGTTTGTGATCTTAATTGAATATATATATATATATATATATATATATATATATATATATATATATATATATATATTTATAATACAATTAAAAAAATTACATACATATTAAAACTACAACTTGCATTTTTTATGTGTAAATGTAGATGGTTTATTCAATTTTACCATTGTTGACCGTCTTCTCGATTATAAAAGTAGATGGTTTAGCAGCCACCGCTTCGGATCCTGCTCCTCTACAATTTTTGGCCCCATATTCTGGGTGTGCCATGGGGGAATATTTCCGCGATAATGGAATGCATGCATTAATAATCTATGACGATCTTAGTAAACAGGCGGTAGCGTATCGACAAATGTCATTATTGTTACGTCTTCGACACAAGAAAGGGGTGTAGAAAAAATCCTTTTTTCTTGTGTCGAAACGAAAGAGCAATGATTCTTGATCCTGATTGTTAAAAATTCCTAGTCTTGGTTTCAATTTTTCCAGATGTATCAGAAACCCTACACCTACCCCCTTACATATAATATATGAATTGATGGACAAACAAAACAAAAAAGAGAGGAAATTTTATTAATTAAATAAAACTATCTTTTTTAAATTGAAAAAATGACATTTTGTGAGTGATCAATTTAGTAAGATGACAATTATTTATCCTCAAATAATTCAAGTGAAAAAGTAGCAAACATGACAATAAAAATTTTCTTCTCATAGCTAGTTAGAAGGCCATTAAAAAATAATATTGTCCGACAATTATCTACCTTGACCTAATTAAAAAATAATTCAAGGGTATAATTGGAAAGAAGCTTTTTATAGAGTTTTAATCCAAATACAAGATGAGATGGAAAACAATGAACCAAACACTTTATAAAAATAAACCCTGCATTACTAATCCCTGCACTACTAATCCCTGCATAACTAATCCCTGCACTACTAATCCCTGCATAACTAATCCTTGCGTTATTAATCTTTGCATCTGTGGTGACCATTTGTGTACATAATTAGACTAAGAGCGCAAATAACTATGATTTATCTTGGGTCTAACCCATATTACCTATGAGATCTATATTTGAACAAATCGTTTTATACTTCTATTTGGAGGTGTAATGGTGTATTAAATTACATGTCCAAAAACTTTAACTTTATCTCATATGATTTCATATCTTGATTCATCTCACAATAGGCAAACAACTCTTAAGTGAGGTAGTATTTCTTAGGATCCGTTTGACTATGCGATATGAAATCACGATTTGAAATTATGATATACAATTAAGTTTTGTTTGGACATGCAATTTGGACGTATATTTTCTCATAAATCTAAAATTTAATTAGTTGTAAAACTATTAAAATTGTCTCAATTCTTTATACAACCTTACCAAACAAGCAAAATTTTATAAAATTGTATAATACACTATGACAAAACTATTCTAAGAAATACAACATTTATTGACCAAACTTTAATTCAATAAAAAAATTAAAATTGAACATTGGTTGGTAAATAAATTTGATAAAAACTAATGAATTTGATGAATATAAATAGTAAAGTAAGAATTGATTTGAAGTAATACCAAATTTTATATTGGTGAAAAAGTAATTATTATATAAGATATAATATGGTTTAAGAATTAGTAATATGAACTATAAATTCTATTTACATAAATAAATAATGAATAGATATAAATCTATTTTTTTTTTTATAAAATATAAATTTGTGGGTCAATCACATTTTAAAGAAGTTAAAATTTATTTCATAATATAAAATTATAAAATAAAATCAGCTTGAAATTACATGTATAAATGTTGATTTCATCGGATGATTCAAGACGGCAAATTAGAAATAGAAAATAAAAAGATGATAGAGTTGTTGAAAGTGAGAAAGCAAAGTCAAAAGGTGCATTTTAATTGTCGATGGTAGTTGGTGTATTCTGCTCACGTAGTGATCAATTTAATAGTATTTGTACTATTCAACTAAAGAATACATACACTACTCCACTGAAAAGTATGCATATACAGCTTTTATTTTGTTTACTTTGTCTTCATCTTCTCTCTCCCTTTTGATGTTACAGTATTCCAAACCCAAACACAAGCGTTTCTTTGAGGTTGACCCACTTTTCCTTTTTCATCATTTGCTAAACATCTCTCAATACTTCACAGATCTCTGATTCTGATTCTGATTCTTCTATTTTACCTTCAGATCTTGTATTTTAGGCATGTGATCTTTCTCTATTCTAAATTTTGTAGCAACTCTTGGGTTTTTATCTGGATCCCTTTTGCCAAAGTTATTCTCTGCAGGAGTGCTAGAATTTGCTTATAACACTTTTAACAGGTTTGTTCTAATTCTTCATAGATTTGTATCAGTTTGGTTATTGTAATGTTTTAATTAGTAAATCTCATGAATCTATGCTGTGTACACTGAAAAATTTAGACCTAATTTTGGTGGAGATTGTTTGGTTTTCCTTCTTCGCCTGGAACATCAGAAAAGCATATGTTCCATCAGTTCTTGGCATGTTTAGTGAAACAATCTTAAAAAGTTGTATCTGATAAATCTCATGTGATTACTTGTACTTTGATATCCTTGTGAAGGTATCCTTTTTCTGCTCTCTTTCTTTTTTCTTTTATCTTTGTATGCCTTTCGTGCTTCTATTGTTTTGCTTTTCTTTTAGCAACTTATTCTTTCGTGAAACATGATTTAGTTTTTGCTCCTTTGCAGCTGTGTCCTTTGACAAGTTTGCTTCTGCTAACTGGAAAAGACCTTATATTTTAAGGAAGGGCAGAGAGACAAGTATCATTTATTCTGGTGTTTGACCATCTGTCTATAAGTTTTTCTATTAAATGTCGTTCCGCAGTATAGTTCGAGATGTAAGAGATAGTTTTGGCAGTTTATCCAGGAGAAGCTTTGATGTAAGGCTCTCTGGTCATCAAAGGGGTAAATCACTTGGTTCATTTCATGACTTAAGTGACCAGCCTCCTGTCAACCAGAACAGTTGTTGGGCTAATCTCCCACCCGAACTACTTTTTGATGTAATTAGAAGATTAGAAGAGAGCGAGAACTCATGGCCTGCCCGTAAGCATGTCGTAGCATGTGCTTCAGTTTGCAGGTCATGGAGGATTATGTGCCAGGAAATTGTGACAAGTCCTGAAGTTTGTGGAAAGCTTACTTTTCCAGTATCGTTAAAGCAGGTTAGGAACACCCCCACCTTACATAGTGGAGAAGAGTATTTACGACTAGTAATCTTTTGGAGGAGAATTGACGAGTTTGTTTATTTCCTTTTGCAGCCTGGGCCTCGTGATGGAATGATTCAATGCTTCATCAAGAGGGATAAATCTAATTTGACTTACCATCTTTTCTTGTGTCTCAGTCCTGGTAAGAATTCGTTGTAATTTTGCTATTTTGGGGGCTGATAGGGGGTTGATGTCTTCCAAACATAGATGAGGCATAAAAGGTAATGGCGATTCAGAAACATGTGGTTAAATGATGGCATTAATGTCTTTTTCACTATTCTCTCGTTAGCTGTAATCTCCCTTCCTTCTGCACTCCCCTGAAAAAGATGATCCGAAAAGAAAAAAACTCATGTTACTAAGAATTTTTAGGGCACAACTGCGATGAGTGATTTCCTAAGTACTTATATTTCCAGTTGCAATTTGAGATTATTTTGCTTTGTTGCGTACAAAGTTTTTCAGAGTTTGATAAAAAATCCCTGCTTCATTTGTAGCTTTACTAGTTGAAAATGGAAAATTCCTTCTCTCTGCAAAGAGAACAAGGCGGACTACTTGTACGGAGTATGTTATCTCAATGGATGCAGAAAACATCTCAAGATCAAGCAACACTTACATTGGAAAATTAAGGTATAGCAGAGGAGCTATTCATTTTCTATTTTCTGTATCTTTCTTGCGAGATGTTTCACGAAATACTAATGTAAGATGAAGACTATCTTTACCCCCTTACACTTATATCAAAGAGAAAAGGTTTCTCCCAAGTTAGCCTTGCAAGTTGCATCAAATACTAGCACGAGCATTCAAAAAGGCTTGAAATTAGTTTGTGCATTAGTACATACACCAGGAACAGAAGTTATGTCCAGCTGGGGTGGGGGTGGGTGTGGGTGTCTACCTGGCACCATAACATTCCATTCCAGACGTCTTAGACAAACTTTGTGTCTCAAGTTCCGTCAGGGATTACACATTATTGGTCTAGGGTACAAGATCCTCTCTCCATTCTATTCAATCTAGATCAATTTTGACGAATTTTTCCTCAAGGATGGCTGATGCTGATGTATTCCAAATAGTACAGGATCCTCTCTACATTCTATTCAGCCAGAGGAAGTCTATTTGAGGATGGCTGATGCTGATGCAGATTAGGCAGAAAGTTATGCTAGCTAAATATACCTCTGGGTATTTTAGAAAAAAAGAAGACGTGCAGGAAACTAAATTATCCACAGAAGAGGGAACCGAGGAATTTCTTGGAGGGTGTTTAAGACCGAAAAAATTAAGTTCCCTTCAAGTAGAAAGGGAAGAAATGTAAATTTAGTGCATAATCTGAGTATCTGACTATATATGTACCCTTCTGCTGTAGGTTTGAATGATACATCGACGTCTACTAAACTGCTCTAAATAACGGATCATGTGATTTATATTTCATCTGACACAGCTCTTTTGTGCTTATATGCACTTAGTGGAGCGTGAAATCAATGTTCCTCAAGTATTTATTATTAATGAGAACGTGTTTTCTGATGTATCTAATACTGCTGTTCATTGCAGGTCAAATTTTCTGGGTACAAAATTTGTTATATATGACACCCAGCCTCCATACACCTCTGCAAACATTCCGCCTCCAGGCCGCTCAAGCCGCAGATTCTATTCCAAGAAAGTCTCTCCGAAAGTTCCAACTGGAAGCTACAGCATAGCCCAGATCAAATACGAGCTAAATGTTCTTGGAACACGGGGTCCGAGGAAAATGCACTGCGTCATGCACTCAATTCCTGCCTCAGCAGTTGATGTGGGTGGCTCAGTGCCTGGCCAACCGGAACTTCTCCCAAGGTCCCTTGAGGATTCATTCCGAAGTATCTCTTTCTCAAAGTTGCTCGATCATTCTGCTGAGTTCAGTAGCTCACGGTTTTCTGATATTGTCAGAGCATCATCCAGTGCAGAAGATGATAGTAAGGTGAAACCCTTGGTTCTAAAGAACAAGTCACCGCGTTGGCATGAACAACTGCAGTGTTGGTGCCTGAATTTTAGAGGACGGGTGACAGTTGCATCTGTAAAGAATTTTCAGTTGATAGCGGCCCACCAACCAGCTGCTGGGGGACCGACAACGTCTCGGTCAAGTCAATCAGATCATGACAAAGTCATCCTGCAATTTGGCAAGATAGGGAAAGATATGTTTACTATGGATTACAGGTATCCGCTATCTGCGGTTCAGGCTTTTGCTATATGCTTGAGTAGCTTTGACACCAAATTGGCATGTGAATAGAAGATTAGGATGGGATACTAAAACAAATTAACAACTGCAATTGACTTTGTTCTGGATATATTATGCCTACTTTGTTTTCCTTTTCGCACTAATAGAATTAGGGTGGTCCCTAATCTTTCATTATCTTGTAAAAACACCTCATTATAATGGTGGCGGTGCATCTTGACATTTATTTAAAGCCACTGGACTTTCTATTTGGGTTCTAGAATCTACTTAAACATTTTACAATCAATCTTGTTTGTATTAACTTCTTCAAAAGTTCCAATAAAATGCCTTAATTTAAAGCATCATGCATATTACTGGAATTCCTTATTTTCAGACGCCTTAGATGAGGAATGTCTTATGGACCATAAGTTGTGGTATTGAAGATCAATAAACAAAGTGAATTTATAATGAGCATGAGATTAGTTTGCTCCTCCTATGTGTACGTATCGGTTATAGGGGCGTTCATAGTTTGGTAAAAGACTATGCAGATCGGAACAGAACCAAATAGATTAAATGAAAAAGGGTTAAAATTGTCCTTGAACTATGCGGTATAGGTCACTTATATCCTCTGTTACATTGTGAGATGTAAAATGTTATCCTAAGATACCACAAATACCCTCAAGAGTTTTTTTTTGGTTTTCCACCCGGTGTCCGGTACCCACATTGGAGCCTGATTAAATTTGGATTTGCGCCGAAAAGTCCCACATTGGAGGGTATAGGGCTCCTTAACAAAGGCGACTCCGTACCCAAGGGAGCTCAAACCCGAGACCTCCTGGTTAAGGATAAAGGAGTACTTACCAATCTACACATCCTTTGTTGGTAATACCCTCAAGAGTTAACAGCTTGCCACATGGCTCTAATTTCTCCACCTAAGCTAGCCGACTACGATACCCATTCATTAATTTTGACCCAAATCCTAACCCAATTTTGCTAGACTCGATCCACTAAAATTAAGAGGCGAACATCATTTTTTAACTTCATCTTTGTTGAGTTGAGGAAGGACGTCTCAAGCTCAACAAAGCCGAGGTGAAAAGATAGATATTTGCCTCTTCAATTAAGTGGGTCGGGTCTAGCAAGAATTTTGTGTTTGGATCATAGATTGGGTCAAAATTAATAAGTGGGTATCCCAGTAAACAAGGTTGGGTGGAGGAATTAGTGTTACATGGCTGCTACATGTTAACTCTTGAGGGTATCTGTGGTTTCTTGAAATATCGACGGGTTATTTTTTATCCCAAAATGTAACGGAGGGTATAAGTGATTTATTTTGCATAATTCAAAGGCAATTTTGACCCTTTTGCGTAGACTAAAAAAAGGGACTTTCCTTTAGGTTTAACCTTATAAACTCACCTCCCTCGTGGTTTCGAATAATACACACACCTCCCTTGTTTTGGATTTTTTATAACCAAATTTGTTTAAATTAGTTAAGTGCAAGGGTTTGCACGTGTGTATCACATTAATTTTTTATATATATATATATATATATATATATCAACATCATATATCATCATACTTATACTTACTATATTATAAGTGAAAAGCCTCCAAGTTAAAAATTGGATTACAAAAATACCCCTTAAAAATTAACGGTTCAAATTATCTCTTAGCTAAAAGTAATTACTTTTTATTAAATAATTTTATATGCTACTTAATATTTTCTATACTACTTAAATGGAAAGAGCTTTTCATCTTCTGCTAATTCTTTTTGGCTTTTTGATATTTCAGTTTTGTTTCTACAATAAACGGCCATTTTTGCCGGATTAGAAAGAAAAAATTGAAAAATATGTATAATTCTCACCATTATAAGAAATAATAGAGGGAAGCTACAAATTCACCGGTAAGTTCATTTTCCTTTTGTTCTTTATTTCTATAAGATTTCATAAAAATGTATTTTTTATAAGGTCATGTTTCAGTGAAAATCTTGACACAGTGATAACATTCGTAAATGTAAATAAAATTTTAGGGATAAGACATAAGTACCCTCTAGACTATAATTGAAATCACAAAGGTATACTTAAGGTTAACTAGGGCCTTATTACCCCATGAACTCATTTTTTCTTCGTATTTTTGTGCACATTTTGTGCTGATGTGACACCTTCAACCACCCAAATTGGTTGTGTTTGTACACATATTTTAAAATATTTTATTTTTATTTTTTTAAAAAAATATTCTTATTTTCTTTATCTTGTATTTAAATTAAGGCAATACACATTTTTTTTTACCTTGTATTGGAACTTTTTTTTTTACCTTCATTCATTGTTTTTTCTCTTTTATTTTTCTGTTGATTTTATTTTCTTTGTCTTTCGTTTTGATTTGATTTCAAATTTAATTTCAATTGTCTTCTATTTAAAATAAGTTAATTTTGAACGGATATTAAAATAAGTGAAGAAAATCAAATAAAACATAAAAAAATTAAAGCGTCAAAATTAAAGGACACTTTTAATATTTTTTTAAAAAATACACATAATTTTTTTAATATGTGTAAAAGTGAAAAGATAATAAATTAATTTTAAAGTGAAAAGAAATTAAAATAAATATTTTACAAAGCCAAGAAATAAAAATAATTGTATATATATATATATAAGTTTTAATATCAATAAATATGTGTACTAACTAATTATAAAGTTAACAATCAAAAATTGACATGCATCCAATTTGTGCACTTATCGCTTGCCTTCAAGAGAGAGTGCACACTATCTATGCCATGTCAACATTTATGGTGTATTTATTCCATTTTAAATTAGTTTAGGGGAGGGGAGTAATAGAACCTTAGTTAAATATAAATGTATAGCTGAGATTTCGGTTATAATCTAGGGTACTTGTGCCTTATCCCAAAAATTTACATTATTAGGTTATCAAAGAGATATTTACCAATAAGCTTTCTTAAAAAGTGAATTTGATATATAATCCCTCTGTCCCAATTTATGTGACTTACTTTCCTTTTTAGTTAATCTCAAAAAGAATGACACATTTCTACATTAAGTAACAATTTAACTATAAAATGCCTATTTTGCCTTTAATGAAATGATTTATAGACACACAAATTTCTATCATTAATTTTGGACCACAAGTTTTAAAAGTCTTTCTTTCTTTCTTAAACTCCGTGCTGAGTCAAACTACCTCACATAAAATGGGACGGAGGGAGTATATATTATCTGGTACCAGAGACGAACCCAGGATTTGAAAACTTCGGGTGCACCAATATGACCAATAAAAGTAATGAAAATGATTTAAGCTGGATTTGAACCCTGATCTCAGGTGATTTTTCTAGCTTATACCAACAACACAATGATACTCCTATCCCTTTTATGAGTGCATTATTCACTTTATCTTAGTTTCTGCCAGTTTCTTAAAATAAATATATATATATATATATATATATATATATATATATATATATATATATAAATTTCGGAAGTTCTCCTAAGGGTGTGGGTCCGCTGCTACGACAAATACAGATCATAGGAGGGGATTTTAAATATATTGGCAATATATATTAACCACCGCAATTGCACTATTTCACTAGATAAATGCACACAAAATTTAAGAAGTCTTACTATGCATCCACAATAGAGGCAATGAGCTTTAGGCCCCAACGTTTTATTTTTTTATTTTTTTATATATATCTTATCAACACAAGCACATAGTTCACACATTAAACTTATCGATAGATCTACAGAGAAGTGTTAAGAGATTTAACATTTAATCCTCTTATATTTCATGCCTCAAGCCCTCGACATTAGTTTAAGTCTTTGTTTGGAGTTTCTAATAAGAACTTTAATGTTTAATGTCTTAAATTCGAAGTTGGTAAGATCAGTGGATAAATGAACAAGAGAAGTATTCATATAAGGTAAAACCTCACTAAATTAATATTAGATTAATTAATAACCTCTCTAAGATATTATTTTTCTCCGATCCGATTCGGGTCAATGAAAAAAAATCGCTCATTTTGATAAGATAATAAAATAATATATTTTTTGAAGATCCCTAGATAAATATATGGTCCCATTAATATTATAAATTAATAATTCGTTAAAAGTACAAATATATCTAAGACAATTTAGTGAAACATGATTCTATTGTGTTCTTTTTTTTGTGTTAAAATTTAAATCTTGTTGAAGCTCATCTCTAACTTTTCTTATTGCATCTAAAAGTTTCAGTGTTGTCTTTTTGAACCGCACCGTATAATTGTGAAGATTTCTAAATGTAATAAGTGTTTCCTGACCGTATCTGATTTCAAATGTATTGTATCATCTTCTACTTTATCATCAACATTATCTTTTTCAATGGTATCCACAATTTCTTCTAAGCTCTGGACCTATGAACATGTATCATTTTCACCCATTCAACAAGTTATTAACGTCTATTTTATTGTGGTAATCGAGATCATTAATCATGACTTCAAGTTCATGAATGACGTTTTCACAAGTGAATTTATTTAAATTCTCTGAATTTCATCCTCAAACGAATTTGTGGTGTCGAAACATTCTTTAAATTAATAAATATTAATTTATTGATTAAATAATATCTCTATAAAATAATAATATTTCATGATCCCACCTATATTAATTTAGTAAGGTTTTATTTTATAGTATTTTGATGATTTGTGTTAATGTTTTTTTTATACATAACTATAAGTGGATAAAAGTTGTGGATAATGAAATAAATAGAAAAAGTTAATAATCAAATAATAAAGTGGAATACCAAAACATCGTCTCTAACAAAAAAAATATTAGGTAACATACGGAAATATTACATATATACACCTAATTACGTCAAATGTAACTTATGGTACATTTTAACTATCTAACTATATTTGATTATTCAATTTTGCATGTTCAAAAAACTATTTACTCATTATCACTCAACAAAGAAGTCATATGAACATACTTTTTTCTTTTTTGGTTTCCCATCCGGTGTCCGGTATCTACATTGGAGCCCGACTAAATCCGGATTCGCGCCGGGAAGTCCCACATTGGGGGATAAATCGCTCCCAAACAAAGGCGACTTCGTACCCAAGCACTACTAATTGAAAGCTGCTAAAAAACGACGGCCAAAAGCGACGGACTGCGTCGCTGTTTTAGTCAATATCGACGGAAAAGCGACGTAGTCACTTCCGTTGCTTTTTAGGTTGACGCTTTTCAAAAAGCGACGGACTGTGCCGCTCTTTGACTATATTTTTTAGAATTTTTTTAAACAAAAGCGACGGAGTCCGTTGCTTTTCTGGAAATTT